TATTTTTCAAAAATCAATGATATCAGTTCAATTTTGGTTAACCTAAAATAAAATTCAACAATCAATCGAATTGATCAATATATATACACTATATTATCCATGGTTTTCGAACCATCGTTGACCTGGACAATCGGACTGTTCGGCCCAGGAACCGTCCAGGCAAACAATTCCATTTTACCCCAACCCTGGTTCTTGGCCAAAAACCGTTGAATCGGTCAATGACTTGTTGACCCGTGCAGTTGACCCGTTCAACGGTTTTTGCCGTTTTTTATTTTTAATTATTTTTATTTTTTTAATTTTTGTTGTCAGAACAAGCCATCCGTTTGAACTGGACGGTCGAACCATTGACCCAGAAACCAGTGGCCATAACAGTTTCATTTTCAAAACATTTTTTAAAACCATGATATTATCTATATACAAATTTATATGCATTTTATAAATAAATATAGATATATGTTATATTTATAAGAAATTATATATTCCATATATATTTATAATATTTGTAATATAATATACATATTTATAAATATATTTTATATTATATTTATAGTACTTATATTATATTATTTATAATATATATAGTAAATATAAAAAGCCAAGAAACTAAAGAACCAAACCGATCAAAAATCAAACTGATCAATTGGTTATTAGTTAACTGATTGGTTTTGGTTCACATTTTTTAAAAACCAGTGGCACCGGTTTGGTTTCAAAGAATAGCCCACTGTTCACTTAACCGAACTATGAGCAACCCTGTTGACAACAAAGTCATCCTTTTTACTTTATACTTTGAAAGCAAGAAATAAAATGTGCTTTCCAGAAAGAATGCATAAGGCTCAGTTTGGAAAGAGTACAAATACAAATTTGTATTATTTTATATGCATTTCAGTGTACATATTTGCATTTGTACTCTTTTCAAATTGAGCGTACAAATACAAAATAATGTATACAATGCAAATAAATACAAAATAATGCAAAATATAAGGTTTTGTACTCTACATATTTGTATTTGTACTCCTTCCAATGAGCTTAAAGTGCAAATGACAAATTTTGTAACACATGACACAACTATGGATCATGATTTCTATAAATATATGCCACATGGAAAATTTTTGAATATGGCAAAATATATGCCATGTGAAATTTATTTTTGACATATGGTAAGGTATATGCCATGATGCCAATAAATATGTAACACATGGCAAAATATATACTAAGTGGCAAACCTGTAATGTAGCAAAATATATGCCATATGGAAAAATTAATAACATATGACAAGATATATGCCATGATGCCCATAACTATATAATACGTGGCATAATATATGATAATTGTCATGGAAAATTTGTAAATATGTACCATGTGTTGAAACATGGAAAAATGCATGCCACGTTTGATGTCCACATATGTGGCAAAATATATGCCACATGGCATGGATCATGTGTCAACAAACAAACAAGTTGGCACATGGAATTTATCATGACACATGTGGTAATGCAACATGGCATAAGCCAATACTTATTTATTGTTTTAATCTTTAAAACATGTTTTGACAACAATAATTACCAAACTACAAAAGCATGAATCACAAAAGTACTTCATACTTTTATGCTATGAAAAACAATAAAAAAAATTATCCAAACATAATCTTAACTTCCATAATAGGTTGAACCATTTAGGCTTAATCTGGAAAGAGTATAAATGCAAATATGTGCATCATAAATTCATACAAAATAATACAAAATATAAGGTTTTACAGTCTACATATTTACATTTGTACTCTTTCCAAACTCAGCCTTAGGTTTAGGATTTTCTTGGCCCAATCTTGGGCTTAGAGGAAAAACTCTACCCAAGCCAGGATGGGATGAGATGGACAAAAATGATCAACCCTATGGTAGGGTTAAGTTTAGGTGTAATGTGTTCAATAGGATACTCAATTAAAGCCCATTAGAGATCTTCCCCAATCCTAATCCCTATACCACTCTACCTGTATTTATTTTTGGGTAAATTACAGATTACTACCTATACTTTAGGGGTGGTGGCAATCAACCCAGCATTTTCATTCGCCAAAAAGATCCCTTGAACTTTTAGACTCCAACAAAGACCCCAGTGGCAAAAGAAGTTAATTTACCAAAATACTCATCCAAGAAACTTCTATAAAATGAGAATTGCAATAGAAAAACTAAGATGCTTCTATAAAAACCTAAAATTATAACAAACACAACATGCAATTAATATCAACTAAACTAGTAACAAATGGAAATAAAAAAATGTTAAATCGAGGTCGACAAGTAGCGAATAAAGGTCCTACTGAATTGTATGAGTCGAGTTGGATGTATCGAGGTACTTACAAAGGGAATAACACTCCAACACTCAAGTCAACAGAGCATAGAGGAAGCCGGCTAGGACAAGTGGTTGCGGATGAGATGGTCATAGCCGAACAATGCTGAAGAGCAAGAAAGCAGAAAGCAAGAGAGCTATGTAAATCGAAGAGAGAGATTTACCTCATGGTTGTGCCCTTAAATACTCGATGGGGTTATTGCTGTGCTCCTCACTTTTCAAGACACGTGGCATGTGCCAAGATGCCTTTAACCGAGGTCTTCAGGGCGGCTTTGCACTCCCCACTGTGGGAGGCCATAGATAGGAGACCGGATCTGCTCCTCACACCTGACGCCACACACGCATATCCTATCATGCATTGGGAACATCTACTGTATTTATTGATTATTATTCACGGGAGATGTTCTCAATGCATGGTGGATGTGCCTGCGAGGCGCCTATTTGTGAGGAGCAGTTCCCATACATAGCTTGTCGTCTGTCTCGTATCCTCTCTTGATCCAAGGTTTCTGCTGTGTGTTGCAACGGTTGATTCCGACGTGTGATGGTGCTCTGCATTGTCAACTCAGCCGAGGTCATGGCCGACTCTTCAGCCACGTCAATGTCTATGTGGCGATCAGACTAGGTCAGGGTACGGCCCATCAAAGAGTAATTGAGGATTTAGAAAATTTTAAACAATCACGTGAGAATCTTTTTCAAAGTTAACTGGCGGAATACTAAAGGTCTTTGTCATAATCTGAAAATTCAGGCGGCCTTTATTGCAAATAAAAGTTCATGGGTAATTCCCACTACATAAAGTATAAAGTAATAATCTATAATTCAAATACATAAAATTGTTGCACTTACGCTCAGATCCAAATTTGATTTGTTAATATTTGGATTCCCAATTCAGATTGAATATGGATCATCTTTAGATCTTAGATCTGCTTTGAATACTACAAATAAATTAAATTAAAAATCATTTATGATTAATAAAATTAGTTAAATATGCCTTTCATATTGCATATCATGTATAAAATGGCTTGGAAACAAGTTCTATGAGACTTAAGCATATTGCTCTGTTTTTTTTCATAAATAGCACTGATGCAAATCTATGATAGTGCAAATAATTTGGGTGCAAATTTTGAATAATTTTTTTGTTTTAAAATTTACCTTATTTTTTTATTGTAATACAAAAGTAAAATAAGCAATGTTTTAAAAATTAATTCAGAGGCCAAACAGTTTTTGCCTCTGGGTCGTGGGTCACCTGTTTGATTGGCCGGGTCAAGCGGTTATATATATATATATATATATATGTTATATGTATTTTTATATTTAATTTATATTTTTTAACTCAGTTTGTAATTTTTTATTTATTAAAAATTGTACTTTAAGACCAAAAAAGGGTTTTTTTGCAAAAATAGCAGGGGAACGCATAGATCTCGAAAAGTTACTCAAAATAAAAAATACCCCAATTGGACATCGTAGTGCAAAGTTATGGCATCCAAAAGTTTGCATACATTGAGTGTGCAACCCACAATCCGGTGACCGGGTCAACGGTTGAAATGACTGAATCATCTTGACTGAACCGGACCCAGAATCTTGGCTGGGTGACGGTTCAAACAGTTCGACCAGGAGGGTCAACAACAGGTTGAAAACACTGAAAATTGAATAAAGCAAAATCCAAAACGAAATTAAACCAGAATTTGCATTCTTTTATTTGCACTCCCATACATTTATATTAATGCAATAAAATTGCATCGCAACAAAAAACAGCCTTAGTAAATGGAGAAGACCAACTTCTTTTAAACTTTGAACCATGGTTGCAGGAAATAAAAAGAGAACATCAACCTTTATACAAAAATGATTTCTGGACGATTTGAAGGAGTATTATTTTTCTTACTTTTTGCAATTTGTTCGTTTTCTCATAACCATTTACATGCAACAAAACAGAGCCGTAGTAGAATTCATACAAGTGCCAATTTTATTACACTGTCAAGTTCAACCAAGGCAACTGATTCTGTCTGTTTAAGTTTGAAGCACACAAAAACTTATTCTAGCTGTTCTCTCTCTCTCTCTCTCTCTCTCACTCTCCCCTTTTGTCCCCTTTTGAATGTGCTGAAACAAGGCAATAACAACAATATTTCTCAATGATTACACATTCTTCATCATCTTCCATCGATCTGTGTTTATGCCCTTATCGGAGGCTGACTGTATATCTTGGATTTGCCAGAGTCAAAATCCAAACAACCCATGAAACTTCCAAGTAACAAGTTAGTGTGGCTCAAATGGAATCTCCAAATTCCTCTCTTCATTGTAGACTCATGGGAAAAAAATTGGTATTCAGATTAGATGAATTCCAATGACAATGCCCCACCCACACCAGTGATAAAATCCATGGGGCCCACAGTGAGAGGTTGAGTGGTTGTGGACCCCATGTATTTTATTACTGGCGTGGAGCTTCATCATTGGTTCCACAGCCGCGTTCAGCTAATCCTTTCTCAAAAAATTGGTCCAGAAAACGTGCAAAAAAGCTCAAGCTATTCTCGTTCCTTCAGATTATACAACTAGCAAAGAACTCACATTATACAACACAGGAAACGATGGGATGAGAATGTAGAAGAGATAAGAGATATAATGCTACTAAAAGAATGAATAAGAAATTGAAATGAGAAAGAATTGATCCAAACAGTATAAGTTGTAACTTTTGTCTGATACAAGCAAAATCTATATTATTCGTAAGTAAACATTTTCTATGGCAGAATAAACTTCTCGTGTAGAATGGTTGGTGAGGCATACACAACTTGATAATTTATGTCAGAAGCGATAGAAAAGGTCAAAGTCTCTTATACCTCAGAGTGGTCAGTGAACTTAGTTTTCTGTTCAAATCATCTCATAAAAGCTTATATTTGATTTCAGGTCAAATTGCCTTCAGGTCTAGTTTATTAGACAAAAATCAGTAAGGCAAAATAGGATATCCATCTCTTGACATGTCCAATTCAGTTGTTAGTTAATCTCCTTGATGTTGGTCACCCAATCACCATCCTGCATCTTCAGGTAGCAATTATCTAACTATGAATTGAACCCATCACACATCATGGCCATGAAATTAAATTGAATCTCTCTTAATGACATTAAGTGATGACAAACTGGTGAACTTCTCTGTCAATTATTCTATGCTTGCTACCTATTGAGACTTTTACTTTTTATGCTTGCTCAGAAGTTCTTCCCCAAATAATTTACAGACTGGAGGATCAAATAAAGCTCAGACCAGCATCCAATTCTGCAGCTACCATGACCCATCCTTTGCTTCTGTGGTTGGGCACCCATACTCGTATACTTGTCCAACTGAATTATCAAGAGATATCATGCACTTCTGCATCTTCCCTACCAATAATCCCCACAAGAGCAATGCCCATCTTTAAAATGGTGATACCGGATGGGATCCCTAATAACAATATGCCGTTGTGAAACCTTGCTGACAAGTTTTGCAAAGGCATGGCAATCACCACAGATTCTGAGGTTCTTCATGATCCTAACAGGTTTTTCACTTGCTACCCTCATCAGACCAAACGCAATAGCCAATTTCTCACTATGGTAACGGAGGGAGTCTTCCTTCTGTTCTCCCTCAAGATCCTGCATTACAAAATTAGTGTCTGGGATGTAACCCACCTCCATTATTCTTTGTATCAACCTGTTTATCTCTGCAACAATCTTATCTATTTGTGGGTGTGATTTATCCCCCAAAACAAAGGTGTGAACCTGCTTATCAACTTCAATCCAGCTACACCCTGGATTTTTCCTCACTCCTCTGTTTCTCATTATTTTCCTTACATCTGCAACATCTTCCCATCTCTGTGAATTAGCATAGATATTAGATAAGAGTATATAAGTTCCTTCATCTTGGGGTTCCAATTTCAGAATTTGCTTTGCTGCATAGATTGCCAGATCTACATTTCGGTTGGCTCTGCATGCACTAAGTAGAGTCCTCCAGACTATCACATCCGGTTCACATTCCATTTTGTGGATGAACTTAACAGCTTCATCAAGCTTCCCTGCCCTGCCAAGAAGATCAACAATACAACCATAGTGCTCTCTTCCGGGTTCAATCCCATAAATCCTGTTCATTGACTGAAAGTAGTACCACCCATCTTCGACCAACCCAGCATGGCTACAGGCAAAAAGAACACCTAAAATTGTAATATAGTTAGGCTTTTCTCCAGAAGCCTTCATCAACTCAAATAAATCAAGTGCTTCTCGGCTGTGGCCGTTCTGGGCCAAACCTGCAATCATTGTGCTCCACGAGATCACATCTCTCTCTGACATGCCATCAAAATAGGACCTTGCATCCTCTAAGCTCCCACACTTGCAATACATATCGAGGAGTGCATTATTCAGGATCAGATCTCTCTTGAACTTTAGTACATGGGCGTGAACTTGCCTTCCCAATTCTAACAGTACCAGACCTGTACAGGCCCTCAAAACACTAGTTAGTGTAGCCTGATTTGATGGAAAACCAGCCCTCTTCATGCTCCTGAAGAGATTCATAGCTTCATCTCCATTTCCATTCTGAGCAAAGCCACCAATAATCGAGTTCCAAACAACCAAGTCCCCAGTAACCATCTCATTGAAGACACGAAGTCCACTATACTCTTCGCCCCATTTAGAGTAAATGTCAATCAAGGCACTACGAACAAAGACATCAGAATCTAAACCAACCTTAATTATACTACAGTGGAGCTGTTGAAGGGTCGGCAACCCATCACAAGCTCTGAGAACAGAAGATAAAGTGAACATATTTGGTCTCACGCCGTCTCTTAGCATTAGGATCAAGAAATTCAAGGCTTCTTCTTTGATATTATTATTAGAATAAGCCGAAATCATGGTCGACCATGAAACAACGTTCTTTTCGGGCATTTTATCGAATAACTCCCGTGCCTGGTCCAAGAGATTGAATTTAACATACATATTGATCAAAACGTTAGTTAAGAACGTTTGGGGCTCGTACCCATTTGAAAAAACATGCTTGTGAACGAGCTTGCCTTGTTCAACGTCACCATGCGCTATGCAACACTTGATGAGTTCAGAATATGTAATGGAGTCGGCCCAAATTCCGTGCTTCTGCATCAAATTCATGGCGCTTATGGCCCTTCGAAGGTCTCTCTGATAGCAGAACTTCGTGAATTCATCGAGCAGGTTGGTAACACTTGATGGGTCAGGTAAAGGCTGCGTGGTCATAGAGACAGAGAAATGTAACATAGGAGGGAGAACCGCACGGATGTAATTGTAAGATGGTGGGAAACATTTGAAGATGGTTTTTCTCATAACGTTCGAAAAGTTGGAAATTTCCTTGGATCTTCTTCGAACGAAAAGCGTGGCTGAAGATGACTGAATGCATAAGCTAGATAGGTGTTGAGAATGCTGATGAAATCTGGCTATTTCTTCGAATCGTGAGAAAATGATGCTGCTTAAGTTTTAAACTAAACTTCATAGTTCATACAACTTGTGGGGGTATGCTGTATGCATCATACGATAGTTGGAAATCTAGGTAGGAGGTTTTTCAATCACTGAAGTGGAAGTGAAAGTGATTACTTCTTAATCTGCTCCACTAGAAGTGCCTATTCGCTCTAGTTGGTAAGCTTTGCCTTCGATGGAACACCTGTGTGTCACGTTTCTTAATGCCCCAAACTGGGTAACGGTGTTTTTCACACGAGATTGGCTTATGCAATCGTCTTCTTTTGAGATCAATAGCGGTTGTATCCTGACGTCCACCCCAAGAACTCCAACCACAACCAATCAGGGTGCATTTTGTGGTGCTTTGCTGTGTTTGATTGCAGTACAATTTTATTTGCCCTGGTACAAATGCATGGGACTGCAAATGAAATGAATGTAAATTACTAAATTTTGGTTTAATTTTGTTTTGGGTTTTGTTTTATACTATTTCAGGTCTTATCTTTACTTCATTTGTAGTGCTTAATCAATCAGAAACTTGTTTTGGGGCTGGACCACACCAATACTCATTTATTTGCATTTGGGAAATAAGTCCAAATAATATTTCTGAAAATATGCACTTACTGAAGAAACAATTTTCAATAGTTAATGTAGATTAAAAAAATAAAGTGCTTATTTTGGTTTTAAAATAGCAAAAAAAAAAGTGTTTATTTCCTTTCTGACCCCTCTTGACCCACCACATTATTTTAAAAATATTTATAATATCCATACTTGAAATAAATGCTTTTCACCAAACACTCATGAATACCTTTTGGGAAACTATTACTTTCCCTTCATTTTATTTGATCAAGCAGAGACCAAAAGGGCAAATTTTCTTAATATAATGATCAGATGTACACGAGTGATTACAAGAGACAATTTTCAATAGTTAATGTAGATTAAAAAAAATAATCAGCAAACTACTTTCCACTAGATTTTGCACAATTGACATGTACTTTTAGTACAAAGAATAATGTGTAAAGAACCTATTAGATCTCAGCAGTATCATCATCACTGTCAGCATCGTTATCCCAATCCAGTTTAAAAGAGCTTGCAGACTTCATCAACTCTGTTAGTCCTGTGAGATCCTCTAAATACGTAGGGTGGTTAATAGCTTGGAGAATAAAGTCCATCCCCCTTTTCCTGTACTCAGATATCACCTGAAACAAGGCAATGCATGAGAATTTATGGAACAAAATCAATATACGTGAAGAAACAAATTTATGCCATTAAACCTGCATGTACTTATAGGTATGTGCGCAAAGTGTCTGCCTCATGGGTACAAAAAATGTCAGAAAGGGTTCTAGGTGGGAAAGCTTCAAACCAATTGATCAAACTCATGAAACAACCAATCTTCCTTGCAGTGTGAAGATGCCTAGACTGAAGATGATAACATTATCTACCAATGGTTGTACTCTTGCATGGACAACATTTTAAAACCAGGATCGACCTTGATGATCAGGTCACTTAGCCAAGGAACTAGACCTTCTGGATTCAGTTTAAGATTTGAGAGGCCAAAACCAACAGAACAATTTAAGAAAGTATTGCTGTCTCCTAAATTACCCAAAACAGTAGTGACCACTGATATGAAACAGAATCAAAGAAGAGTGCAAATTCAAATACCCCAGAGAAGAAACTTCCCAATTTTACTTGGTTTTGGACTTTCCTTATTATCCAACAGTTGTGGCCACTGATATGAAACCGAATTAAGGGGTGCAGATTTAAAATTTAAAATTATATGCCTAAGAGAAGGAATTGCCCCCCTTTCACTTGGTTTGAACTTTCCTTATTCTCCCTTGCTCCCTCCCTGTCCCCTTTTTCTCTCAAGCATTATATAACAAGTGTAGAAAGAATTAGAACACACATGCATGACTTAGTTGATTTCAATTCTTATGTAGCATGGATTCCACAGACCCTTTCCTGCCTATTGTAATATGTGCAAATATAAGATATCCCTTTGTTCAATCGAATAAAATGCCCATTATTGCATGTATTAATTCTTGACACTTCTTAATTGATTTCATTGCTTATATAGCATGGGTTCCACAGAACCTTTCCTACCTACTGCAAATTTGTAATATGTACAATATATCCGTTTGTTCAATTAAATAAAATGCCCATTATTGCATGTATTAATTCTTTACACTTTTTATATAGTACCGATTCTATAAAACCTTTCCTCACTTTTCTCCCCAAAATCTTGAATATCTAATACCCCATTTACATGCCAGATCCTAATCTTTGGTTCAAGCCTGCCTTGGTTTAGATGGCTATGATATCAGCTGAGACACTTACAGTGCTGCAACAGGCTGTACAACTATTAGAGGAATGACCAACAAGTGTCATTTGAGAGAATTGAGAAAGGGAACCCCGGATCTGATGAGGAAGAATACCAAGTGGTTGCTCATTGCTCTCCTCACCACTGGAGCTGGCAATCTCACCTGGGGCAAGTATCCTGTAGAAACCCAATCCAATACCACAATGTAAATCAAAATGTGGAAGTGACTAAAATCTAACACTAATCACATGTGAGTATTCATGCCATCAGAAAGACGCCGAGACATCCAATTGGCCTTTGTATTCTCAAGGACTTACCCATCTGGGTGATGCAAAATTCCCACTAACAGCTCAATGGCAAGGGCAGAGGCAATGGGAGCAAGTCCTGGTCGTGTAACAGTGCATTGTTGGTCCAATGTGCGGTTGGCAGTTGACTGCACAAAGAAAACAGAAATTACTCCGATGATTAACATATTTACTGGATGCCATGGGGAAAATATATTAGGCTTTAAGAAAATTACATCAATAGGAGCAACCACATCATTGCAGAAGTAACAGCCTAACCGTTGGCCTCCATCTCCTCCTGATGGGGATAAGTTGGCTATTGAAGTGGCCAAAGCATCTTCATCTTCACCTTTGTTGTCACCACTAAAACTGAAAGGACCAGCTCCATGGCGCATAACTACAAAGCTGTCAAACCCTAAAGCTGCAGTTATAGTTATCTGCAAATGAAATAAATGAATATGCCATCAAAAACAGTTTAAGATAACAAGTGTGTTGCATCTGAAGTCTGAACTGTCATTCTGATCCATGTGGATCATTAGCCAGATTCCTTGTTGTAAATGCTAATAACCATGACAATACAAAGCTCACTCCCCAAGAAACAAATAAAAGACCACCAAAAAGAAAGTAAGAAACCAATAAGATAAACCTTGTTGGCATTAGAACAAAAAAGTGTTGGAAGCCATCGACTTTCCCTTGTATCAGTCAACAAGAATACTGCATCATGAGAAGCAATCAAATCTTGAAGACATTTGCAGTCTTCCATCACATTATTTTCTTCTTGGGCTGCCACTGGGTGCCCAGGCATTGGTATTGCCATTACAATTCCCTCAGCTTCCTGCAAGATATAGCATAGTTGCATGGATTGAGAAACAATGTTTAAAAATATAGAGGAGCAGGCAAGGCATGAGGACCTTTAGAAGCATGAGGCATAAGCCTTGAGGTATGAAGCTTAAGCTTCATTATTGACCAATATTAAAAGAAAACATAAAACTAGTATGCATCAAGTATAGGAACATTCATGAGATGTATACTTTAGGTAGAAAATGCATAAAAATGAAAAAAAAAAAAAAGAAATGATTACATAAACAAAAGAGTTGTGAATATTACGAGCTTTAGAGAAAGTCACCACATTCTTACAAATCATTTAATAACTAATAAGAAATGTTGAGCTAGACAATAAGAACATACAAGTGAAAGTTTTTCGTTTTTCTTTCTTCTTTTTTATTTATTTATTTTTTCTTTTTTTTTTTTTTTTGGGGGGGGGGGAGGGGGATGGGTAGACTAGTAGAGAATCACCACAGCTGGAAATATTTTCTTGAGACTGCTAGCTGCTGCCATGGCTTTTAAATAACCACCATTGAGGCAATCATCAAAGGTATACAAAGACTGTCTTAATGGATTAGACATAGCCACCCGACCACTGTCAAGTAGTGTAATTTTCCGGACACCCCAAGCCTGCAGGTGGATATAATTTAGCATCAGGTAACGATTAGAAAGTGAGAACTGTTTTTCCACTAATCTTTAGATACTCACCATAAGCATACGAGCAACCTGGCACCCAAGTGTCCCTGCTCCTAAGAGAAGGCATCTGGTAGTTGACAAGATATTTAGATTTAAAGATGGCAAAGCACGCCATCTCATGAGTTTCAAATTCAAATCTGCTGCAGATATGGCCAACCTGTGAAAACTTTCTGTATATGCTTAAAAAGGGTAATAAGAATTACAAAGCTTTTATTAAGTGAACATATGACCATCTAGTATGTACCTCATTGGATCCATAGATTCAGCAAGCCTTATACACCTGGGAACTTTCTTGTTTCTGTTTAGCTCCCATCCCACAGCATTGGGTACAGATTGACAATCTCTCCAGCCTAAACAAATAATCCATAAATTAAAAGATTTAGAGTGAGGGAAGCAAATTCAAAATATGCAAAAAGAGAAAATCAATTAGAAGTGAGCCATTACCCATTTTCTTCTTCTCTACCTTGTGGAACTGAAAGCAAGACTTCACCAACAAGGGACAATCCCATATCTGCAAAGCCTCGTTGTTCTCGGTAGCATAGAAAACGAACCCTCTCTAGATTCCATCTTGAATAAATGAGTGCAAGAAAGTTACGTAGAGGCCAACCGGGATTATTTGGGAGATGACATGGATCGTAGAAACCAAAAAGAATCTGCAAGCACCAAGGGTGTAATGTTATGGAAGAGACAGATCAAACTTTACTTTTAACAATTTATCTTACATATGCTTTATAGAGACAAGTCTGTAACTTCCACAAGAGGGAATCTCAATATTGCTCAACATTAGTGATAGATGACATACAATTTTCAGAAAATGCTGACAGTTTCATGAACAAACCTTTTCACCATCACCCTGGCAAGCATCCCAGTCTCGTAAAGGCCTAATAGTGGCATGGGAATTTGAAGCAATAGTAACTAGAAAGAATGGTATATCTGCAGTGGATTGAGTGAGTTAGCCTCTAAGAAAGAAATAGCAGAGCTGAACATTATATATAAGAAATCAGATTGACATGACACAACCAACAGTCCAACCTGCAGTTAGACTTGAGGCACGCCATCCATTACAAGCTGCCGACAGGGATTCTGCCTACAGGTTGTAACAATATTAGTGACATCAGTAAAGGAAACAGAAGAAACTAATAGGCTAAAGGAATCCTCTTGTGCACCTCTTCTAAGCAGAAATACTGTGAAGCCGGCTGCAAATCAATCAATGTTGCTGGAGGATCAAGCACAAGAGCAGGAAATGCAAACCAGTAATGAAAACTCCACTTTTTCAAGTCAGCAAACGAGATGAGAAGGAATCTGGAAAGCAAGGCAGCATCTTCCTGAGCTTTTCCAGAGCAAATATCGTCCCAAATCTAATGGTAAATAAAGTGTTAACATTGGACGTGAGATTAAGAACTATATTCTGGTCAATTAGTGTTTTTATTCATCTACATTCACAACTGATGTTTTAGTGCTAGACTAGCATAGAGCCGCTAATAACTACATGAGAGCAATCCAACTCATCTCCCATGTGGAAACATAAAAATAATGAAGAAAGAAAGAACAAAAGAAAGAAAAAACTGAAGTGACAAATGAAAATTAAAATCTGAATACCTTCTTTGCTTCTGCCTTGAGCAAGCTCTGTTTATCAAGGGCACGGAAACTCTCCAGTGTATTCATGTTGTACAGTATGCCTGGAATAGGACACCTGTTCCTGTTACCACGAGTTACTATTGATTCTGATGATTGTTCACTTGGTTCATGGGGAAAAGATTCAGAAAGAAGCGTTAAATGATTTGAAACTTGGGCATGAGAGCAAGGAGCATAGAAACCTGTTGACACAGTTGATTCATGTCTTAGAAAAGCTGACAGCAAATCATCCAAGAATGCAAAACAAGCAAAGAAAAAATGTTCAAGAGGTCAGAAGAATAAACTGCTTTAAAATATCATTAGACCATATATATTTCCAGGCTTTACATTATAGTTTGAGATTGACCAGTCATAGAGGAATGATAGACAATCTAGTTTATTAACATCAGCTCAAGTAGAAGTCACCCCATCACAGAACCTCTTATTTTCAAATACCCAGTATACTTTCCTTCATAAACAATCCATATAAGTTCCTAGAGGTGATCAACTCCTGATTTCCATAGATGCCAGCTGCCCACTTGAATCTTTAATGATCTTAATGAATGAATGTTAAACCTGTTATTGACCTTTTTTGTTAGAAAAAATGGGATAATATTGTTATTATACACAAGAAATTACAACCACCATTTCACGGGAAGCTTTTTCCATAATATCACAAACTACGTGGAATTTTATCCATCCATACTTTACCTGCTCTACCTTTTTCTTGCTTCTTTAGCTATAGCATCTGTCAACATGTAGCTTTCCTATATGCATGTATATATACAAAAGACTTGGAATTCTACCATCTAAATATATAAAATCACCCCTAAAATTCTGAACACCATGGGGGTTCCAGAACTGTTAACAAAAAAGTATAGTTGTAGATCAATCACCTTCCACTATCAAGTTCTGATTTTCTCAATGCCCATCGCCAATCTTAAACAATCAAAGACAGCACAAAGTTTTATTTTGACCTTGGATTTTTTTCTAGCATTTCTTTGGTAGGCTTTGATAACCCTCCCTCCATGATCTCAAGATATTCCACCTAAGGGCCATTATCCAATGATGGTCCTGATTATTTGGGGTCTTGGGAAGAGTAGACTGGCTACAAACTTAGCCTTTGGTTCTGTTTTTTTTCCTTCTTTTGCTTCTTTTTTTTTTGGGGGGGGCACAAAGTGGACTCTATCAGACTCGAACATCCATTTTCACACTTGTCAACACGGTTCACCATTGCACCAAGCGATGATCCCTAAGGTGGAATACTCCTGCTCCTGCTATATTAGTTGACTCAAGAACAGATCCAACAGTGTTCAGTTTGACCCATCCATAAGGCAGTCGATTCCACCCAATGGATATCTCTTCTTTAGCATTATCATATTCATTTTGTTTCTCAATGTTCCAAAAACTTGAACATTGTTCAGACTCCAACGCCTTCCCCATGATAGTGGATACCAATTGGTTCAGTGCTACAGTGACATCTTCAAAGCATTTTTTCATTTCTAATCTTCCATATTTGCCAAAATGTTTATCTAGCAACTTTCTTCTAGAATTCTTCATCTTTAGAATCAGAAATTTTGCTGCAAATACATATTCATGAATGTAAATTTGAGCTGGACAGTGTGAAAAGAACTTGCTAGCGGGGGAAATTTGGATCTCTGCCTAATTTAATGGGGCATCATGCAGTATAAATCCAACTTCACATCTTCCAGCATACAAAAATTGCCGGATACCGTCAGTGAACTGTGAAACAAACACCAAACTAATGGATAAACTTAAGTTTCTGATAAAACTAAAAAGACAAAAAAAAAAAAAACTACAAAGAGAACCCATAATAACAAAAACAAGAACATAATTAAGCACAAGAAAGGAAATCTACAAGAAAGCTTAGAAAGGAAATCTACAAGAACCCACCAATTGAAGAATCAAAAAGAAATGAGAAGAAGAGGAAAAGCATAGAAAAGAGAATTAAAGTTAACATATGTTAAGAAATAAAAAGAAAAAGAAACTTGCCCGTGATGGCAATAGGCGACTGATCAATCCCTAAGGTATCGAGCTTGAGAGAAGATAATCTCCGCCAGAAACCCTCGTCGACGGAACTTTGAAAAGGTGCGAACTGGAGAACCCGTCTGTTTTCTTTTTCCGCCATTGTTTGCTATGCTTCTTCGTCTTCAATTCACTCAACTCCACCAATTCACTCACTGTGTCTTTTAATTTCTTCAATTGCTATAATAAAACTGAGGTTATTTAAATAATCATTATAGATAGGCGACTATGCGTTCAGTTCGGGCTGTCACATGGACGTGCGAGCGAGGGAACTCGGCCGGTCCAAATGTTCGCTTTGCCTTTGGTCACCCACCTCCGGGTTGCAACCTCGTAGCCATAAATTACAAAAAGTCAAAAAGCTCCAAACCTGAGGCTAATTTCGAATTTATCAATCGAGGCCCAACCAAGCTTAACTTAACACAACTCGAGCTTAACTTAATACAATTTGGGCTCAAGACAGGGCAGGTTAATCAGGTTGATCGGATTTAAAAGAATATATAATTCTATATAATCATTTTATTGAGCTTCATAACCCAATTTAAAAGTAGAATTGACCGGAAATATGCATAAATTCTTAGGGGCGTTCCTTTTTCGGATTTTGAGAGGGGAGAAAGTTGGTCAATGGGATTTTGATCTCCATTCTTGTTCTTTTTTCAGATTTATATGGGGATTAGAAAAAGTTCATTTTCCTGGGTACCACTTACCCGGATAAGTGATACCCATCTCCTAGGTGGGTAAATAACTTTCCCACCTGGTGGGAAAGTTGTCAACACTTGAATGGGACAAAAATACCCCTTTTAAAAATGAATTTTTATGGCTAAAATGGTTATTGCCTTATTTACATGAGAAATAAAAGAACATGGGTAAATGCACTTACTCGGGTAAGTGTTTCCCAGGAAAAACTTACCCAAGTAACTGCATTTACTCGGGTAAGTAACTTATCGAAAAGCGAACAAGGCCTTAAAGTCAGGCCTGTACTACCCGAGACCTCAACTGAAGCCCAACCCAAATTTTGATCAGGCCCAAGAAACTCGAGTTGGATTTACCCAAGTTGCACCCTTAATATATGACTTCTTGTGCCCATTTAGGAGGGTTTCACACTGAAGCTTTTGGCTTTGAGAAATGGGAGGTGGGTCACCCATAAAGCCTATAAACAATGTTTATTATGGTTTTCGAACCGTCATTGACTCGGATGGTCAAACTATTTGGCCCGAGAACCGTTTAGACAACTGATTCTATTTTACTCCAAACCCAGTCCCTAGTAAAAACCGTTGAATCGATCAACAACCCATTGATTTGGGTGGTCAATCCGTTCAACAGTTTTTTGCTGTTTTTATTTTTAATTATTTTTATTTTATTTTTAATTTTTATTGTCATAACAGATTATCCGTTTGAACCAGAGGGTCAAACCATTAACCCAAAAACCAATGGCCAAAACGGTTCCATTTTCAGATCATTTTTTAAAACCATGATGTTTACAAATGAATAGCATTGAGCTTAACGTGGGACTAGTAATCTAGTCTCAAGCCCCAGAATTATAAAAAGTTATTTTATCATAGAATAAAGACTAATATGTGATGCAAACAGAGCAAAAGGCATCAGATTGACAACTCAAAGCCAGACTAGAATTTAGCCCAGCACGTAAGCCATTGCTTCCAAAGTGAACTCTTCATACTTCAATGAAACTTGTTCAGCCCAAAATTAGATTATATCCAACTTGCATGTTAAAAGACTCCATTCCGCTCCAGGGGACAATATTTTATCTCATATAAAAGTTGGAATACCACAAACTGCACTGACCGGTATGCCCCAAAAACAATTGATAGTTCTATTTCTCGTATGTAATTGGATAACAAACCTACTCAGTTGTTAAATAGACACATTTAATGTAACAATATAACAAGGAATTAGTTCAGGTGTTAAATAGGAGATCTGCTAACTGCAGCTACCCTCAAACATGTCTCGTACTTGTATATGTTGTAGCCTTGTAGGTGAGATATGCAACTATTGCGCTTTGGATGGATAGAATAAGTAACTTAACCCCAAACTATAAGGCATAAGGAAGATAAAAAAAGTTAAAAAAGAAAAAAGAAAAATATTGATTATTGGATAAGTCAACAAGTAAATCCACAATTTTTTTTGGTAATAAAGCATTTCACATTTATTTCAATGGATGAAGTAATTTGTGACTTGTAAGTGGGTTAATAGTGTGTTTGTGTTTGGTTTGAGAGGAAAGGAAGGGAAAAGGGAAGTAAACCCAAGGGTGGGTCTTGGTATTTGATGACCAAAACCTTGGGCATATAATGGTTCAGCAAAGCAAATGCTGAAAAGGTCGTGTATTGGTTTCTCCTTAACACGTCTCTTTCTACCAATCGAGTGGTGGCTCAGTTGATACGTTAGCTGGATAGTCCCAAGTCCCAACCGATATGAAGAATCTAGTCCCACTATTACTGCCTACCTTCCAGAGTTATTAATATGTTGTGTTAAATAACGAAAAAAGCACAAGACATGTCTCTTTGTTGTTATTTCTCCTCTTCTAATTTGCAGAATCTCCATCTGAATTCTAAACTTGATCCACGCAGCATATCTAAAATCTTATTAGTGCGTTTTGTTTCCTTAACCAAACAAATGACAACATGCCCATGGAGGACGCCTAGACTTGTTCCAAGTCAAGATTAGGCTCCAGCTTGCTGAAAGTTTGGAAGATAACCCATTTCCAAATTCCAAGGTTTCCTCTTCAAAGCAATAAATTTGTGCTTCTGTCATGTAACCACCCACCATATTGTCTATACTCTAGCTATATAAGGCCGCTTATTCTCATTCTCATACAATAAAAATCTCTTCACCACTAAAAAATTCTATCTCCCTCCCTGAATCTTGGCATGGATCTCTCTCTAACATTTTCCTTAGCTGTTTTCTTAGCTATTATTTTGAATAGCCAAACTCCATCTCTTGCTACTACAAGTGTGACCTCTTTAAGCATTTTTACAGATAAAAAAGCATTGTTCTCATTTAAGTCCCTCCTAGTAGACCCTTCAAACACTCTATCGTCATGGGACCAGAATACTTCTCCTTGCAATTGGACTGGAGTCATCTGCAACAACTCTAGCCAAAAGAGTAATTGGTCTTGAGCTTGGGGGCCTTGGTTTAACAGGTATTATCAGTCCGTACCTTGTCAATCTCTCCTTTCTTAGTTACATTCATTTACAGAAGAACAAACTTGCAGGAACTCTTCCTGATCGAATTGACGATCTTTCTCACTTGCAATATCTAAACATGAGCTCTAACCTCATAGAAGGGTCAATCCCACCAAACATAAACAGGTGCTCGAAGCTATGGGTCCTTGGCTTGATGGATAACAAGATATCGGGTCAAATACCAGCAGGACTTTATCACCTCTCAAAGCTTCAAATTCTGGACTTGAGTCATAACAGTCTTTCTGGTTCAATTCCACCCTCTATTGGAAACCTTTCATCACTTACAACTCTAAACTTAGACACCAATTCTCTATCCGGATTGGTACCCATCAACTTGGGTAATCTTCGACACTTGAGATTGTTCGAACTCAGCCTCAACAATCTCACAGGCACCGTCCCCTCATCCCTATACAATCTTTCTTCCCTTGATCATTTTGCTTTGGCTGCAAACCACTTGTGGGGTGAAATTCCAAGTGATATTGACATTAAGCTTCCAAATCTTCTATTCTTCAATTTTTGCCTCAACAAATTCACTGGTCAAGTTCCAAAATCATTACATAATCTCACCAAAATCGAAACTCTTCGCATATCTCACAACTTTCTTCATGGACCATTGCCACAAGGAATAGAAAAGCTTCATCACATTGAAATGTATAACTTGGGGTTCAACCGTATTGTAAGTTCTGGTGATGGTGGCTTAAGTTTCATTACTTCTTTATCAAATTGTTCTCATCTTCAAGTCCTCTCTTTGGAAGAAAATCTCATATAGGGAATCATTCCAGAATCCATCGGTAATCTATCAAATACTCTCACGAAAATATACATTGGAGGTAACAGGATTTATGGTAGCATGCCCTCGTCAATCCTCTTTCTTAGAAACTTGAATTTGCTAAATTTGAGTCATAATTTTATCTCTGGTGAAATTCCAACAGAAATTGACCAGATGAAGGAACTACTGGTGCTAAGTTTGGCTGGAAATAGGATCTCTGGCAAAATTCCAGATTCTCCAGGGAATCTAAGCAAATTAAATAAGCTTGAATTGTTTGGAAATGAGTTAGTAGGAAGAATACCAACCTCTTTTGGTGACTATCAAAACCTGAATTTAATGGATTTAGCCTACAACAGGCTAAATGATAGCATACCCCAAGAAATTTTCAATCTCTCCAATTTGAACTCTCTACTCAACTTATCCAAAAATTTTCTAAGTGGACCTCTTCCCCAAGAAGTTGGCTTGTTGGAAAAATTAGCCATAATTGATATCTCTGATAACCAACTGTCAGGAAGCATACCAGATTCTATAGGGAATTGTAAGAGCTTAGAAAATCTTTTACTATCCAGGAATTTTCTCTCGGGTCATATTCCCAATACTCTTAGAGAAATACGGAGACTAAACACTCTAGGCTTCTCATCCAACCAACTTTCTGGTCTCATTCCCTCTGATCTTCAACAATTACAAGTCCTTCAGTTTTTGAATCTCTCTTACAATGACCATGAAGGAGAGGTTCCCACAGATGGGGTCTTCAGTAATCGCTCTAGTGTTCATCTTGAAGGCAACCCAAAGCTTTGTTTTCCTTCTGCATGTAAAAAGGGTCAAAATCATGGGAAAGGTTCATCTGTGGCTCAGATTATGATCCCCATTGCTGGTTCAATTGCATTTTGTTTACTAGGCATACTATTTTCAGTTTTCTTCTACAAAAGAAGAAGAAGCAAGGCATCAACATCAGAGTCGCAAGTTATTCCGATTAAGGGACAGCATCAAATGGTTTCTTATGATGAGTTGCGCGTGGCAACTGAGCACTTTGATCCAGAAAATCTGATTGGAAGTGGAAGCTTTGGGTCCGTCTACAAAGGGATCCTCAAACAAGGAATTGTTGTTGGAATTAAGGTCATTGACCATGGGACTCATGGAGCACTGAAGAGCTTTTATGCAGAGTGCGAGGTTTTGAAGAACGCCAGACACAGGAACCTTGTTAAACTGATCACTTGTTGCTCTAGTGTTGATTTCAACAACATTGAATCAGGCTCTGGTTTATGAATACATAGAGAATGGGAACTTGGGTGATTGGATTCATGGAAGAAGGCATGAAAGTGGAGAAGGGTTGAATGTTATGGAGAGGTTGAATGTCGCCATTGATATTGCATGTGCCATGGACTACTTGCACCATGACTGCCAGCCTCCAGTGGTGCACTGCGACCTAAAGCCAAGAAATGTACTCTTGGAAAATGGCATGAATGCTAAGGTAGGGGACTTTGGGCTAGAAAGATTGATGCTTGAGAAAGCAAATGAAGGAAAATCTACTACTGCCACATACGGTCTCAAGGGCTCTTTAGGATATATACCTCCAGGCAAGTTCCTCTCTCTCTCTCTCTCTCTCTCTCTCTCTCTCTTATATGCATTTCTAATTTTTATTTTAGCCTTTTATGGGGCCTCCTTGACCCCATGACCTGAATGCAGAGTATGGACTAGTTGGGAGACCATCAACCAGAGGTGATGTCTACAGCTTCGGAGTCATTGCTGGAACTCTTCACAGGAAAGAGCCCAACCCATGAGATGTTCCTGGAAGGGTTAAGTATAGCCAAATGGGTGCAATCAGTCTACCCTGACAACACTAAAGAAGTTCTGGATCCTGAATTACTACTACAAATGGACAACTTTCATTATGCAAGGTGCCCCATAAGCCCCAAAGTTTAACAAGAATGTTCGGAATCAATTTTGGAGATTGCGTTAGGCTGCGCCATTGATTCACCTCAGTTGCGCATTAGCATGAGAGATGCCCTCCACGCACTGAAGGATATAAGAGATACTCTCACAAGATACGCTTTAAGCACATCTGATGAAATTTTCCAGGCATCTAGGAGTACAACAGTTACTCCTACAGCAGATAGTCCTGCAGAATCCATTTAAACAAGTAATTGGTCCTTTATATGAGCATGATTTAAGTGCTGAATTTCATACATTTGCACGGCCCAATTTCATATGGATAGTATGTTTTTTCTTTGTATTTGTTTGTGTCTAAAGTTCTAGTAAAACTTGTGCATTTTTTTATATTGAAGCTCTCTAAGAAATTGATATTTATGCACTCTGGATCTCCTTCAAACAAGATGTGCAAATGGGCTAAGAAATCCAATCAGAAATAAACATATGCCAGAAACCGGTATCATCAGATTATCTACCGATGTGTTTACTTCTGATTGGGTTTTGTAGAATCGTGTCTTTGTTAGTTGTAACATATCTGGAGTCATCACCATGGGCAAGTTCTGCACTCGCTTTCTTTGTTGTATTTTCATAAAAACTGGTTCCCACTGATAGATACTGTATTTTATAATGCAAACAATACTCTGATAAAGGTTCTAAATTCAGAATATTAGAATATTTGTGCGTATACATTGAAAGAAATTATGCCCCACCGTATATTTGAGGCTATAATCAGGTAGTCCATTTTATTGTTTTTTATTTGAGATAAAGAAATATTAAAAAATATTTTAATATTTTTTCAACAATAAAAACCTTCATCAACAATAAAAACCACAGCTAGATCAACACAGAAATATTGAGCAACAAATCCCTAAGATGAGGCCAGATTAGATCCGGACCAGATTTAATATTAAATAGCATTGAGAAATCTACAGTCATCAAAAAAACTTATCCTAATATTCAATTCATGCACACAGCAGATTTTACCATCCACGAGGCAATGATAACTATAACAATATTACTCAATTAGGTCCCATAAACTCCACAAAACCAAATATCTAACTCCCCAAGTTGGATCTTCTGTGACCCGATCCGCATTATCTACACTTCACCTTTACTGGTAGTCTCTGCTTGGCAGTGGAGGAAAGTCTCTACCAGGCATCTCTCTCATAATCTCACCTCACCTGGGGTAAGGATTCCCATCTGGCATGCCTCCCATGTCCCTGTTCGGTGCATTACTGTTCTGAAAGTCTCTATTTGGCATGGCACCACTTGGCATTTCCCTATTTTGGTAGGGCATACCTCCACTGTGAGGTCCATCCCTGTTCTGAAAGTCTCTGGGTGGCATGTTTCCCATGTTGGGCATGTTGTTTGAGTATCCTGCATTATTGGGCATACCCCCCATATTTGGCATGCTGTTGTGAACGGGTGGCATTCCTCCCATATTAGGCATGGGGTTCTGAGCATCCCGATTAGGCGGCATGCCTCCCATATTTGGCATGTTGTTGTTGTGCACAGGTGGTGGCATTCCTCCCATATTAGGCATGGGATTCTGGAAATTCTGGTTTTTTGGCATCCCTCCCATATTAGGCATGGGATTCTGGAAATTTTGGTTTGTTGGCATCCCTCCCATATTAGGCAAGGGATTCTGGAAATTCTGGTTTGGTGGCATTCCTCCCATATTAGGCATGGGATTCTGGAAATTCTGGTTTGGTGGCATACCTCCCACATTAGGCATGGGGCTTTGAGGATCCCGGTTAGGCATTGGTGGCATTTCTCTTGCTTGAAAATCACGGTTTTGCATATTTTCCCGTCTTCTCTCAAAGTTCCTTGACCGATCAAAGTTACGAGGTCTGTCATTGCGCCTTGATCTCTCATTTGCCCGTGCATTGTTCCTAACCCATTCTTCATGGTATTTAGGGTCATATGGAACAGCTTGCCCATTAATAAAAGGTTCCCCTGAAATTATAAAACAGAAGACACAGAATGAGGAATAATCAAAAGCATCTCAATAACAAATTCTAGCCATTAGCATCATTGTCGCTTGCAGACAATAAAATCAGCAAATTTCAAGAATGACTCCATCATCCAAACACATTCCAACAGCCAGGAAACAAGCTGGAATGCCATTAGTTTCATCATCAATTTTATAATAGGTAGAAGTGAATTATCAGGGTGACCAGAAAAGGTAAATATTGAAAGCCATGAGATCAGCAGACTTGGGAATTGTTTCTTTGATGTATAAAATATGAGTGTAAATATGTGTGACTTCACAGAATGCATATGTTGAAGACCTTGTTTCCCATTTTCAAGAACATGAGTTTGTAGTGCCTGACATACTTCAGAATTGAAAACTCAAAGGGGAGAGAAAATTAAGCATGAAAGATGAAACATGTATCATGTGTCTTACCTCCATAATCTTTATTTTTGACATCCAAGTAAGAATCTGGAAGAACCCATCGAACCCTTGGCAGTTCTGCGTAGGTTTCAGAGGAAAATATTGAGTAATATATTAAAATCTGAACAGAAAATAAAAAGAAACATTAACAGAATGTTAAGAAAGAACATACCCTTGATCTTGTATGAGAGCTCCTCAGAAACAAGGGCTCCAAATGCATAATAGTGTCTAGTTGACACCGAGTAAATTTTCATCCTTGCTTCCCCCTCACTACAAGTACAAGGAAAGAAGTAAATAATCAGCAAACCATGAATTACAAGAGAACATAAGGATAGATTTGCTAACATAAATACATACAAAAGTTGATTATAGTATACATTGAGGTAAACAGTACAAGACTCCATAAAAACAAGAAGTTTTTTTGCAATTTTGCCTTCAAACCCACTTCTTTAGTAAATTTTCCTCTTATGAAAAATTACAGCACATTAGTCCCTCTTTGCATGGACTCAAACAGAATTGTAACATATTGAAAAATCATAAGACCAAAATGCCCTATTTCTGAATATATTGAAAACGTAAACTGTTCTATGGAATATCAGATAGCCAGACTGCCAGAGAATTCACAGTAGCATCCAGTTGCACTATTCCATGTTATGGGAAATTCCCCACATTAACAGACAGAACACTCGAAAGGGGAATAAATTTAGCAATCCAACAACAGTAGGAATGAAGCTAATTTTCATAGGAGTTCGTATTAGCCATCAATGAAAAGAAAAACAAGTTATATTCAGAAAACATAGTTAAATATCAGTTCAAAGTACCCGTCAGGGAAAATCAAATTAAACCCATCAAACAACCAAAATAAATCCAGATAAGTGCTGAACAAGTGCTACTACAGTGTACATTTCGGAAATAAAAAGTACAAGAATGAAAGAAGAAATCATAACCCCCAAAGAAAGGCTTCATTTCTTCATGGAAGAAAGCGCTCAACTGTAGTTTCAGTACAAAATCCCCTTTATGCCAAAAACAGAAACAGCTGAAACTGGATAATGCAAAGAAAAGGATGATAGAAGAAACCAACCTTCCAACCACCATGGCTAGGGTCTTGATGTAACTATCAATGATTTCGTCTCTTGTCGGCTCCCCTTCAGGTTTCTCCATAACAACGAGCCAGTGCTCGAAGTCGCAGCCGTCGAGCAGTATCGTCTCCTTCGGTGGACGATTCGACCAGTTGGGGTTCGGGTCGTTCAAGGACGAAGCAGACTGTCGTGTGGCGAAGCATCTCAAACTGACCGACGACGGGAACCGACAAAACTCAGTAAGGGCTACGAGAGGTCGGAGACGAAGAAGAGGCGATGAAGGAATTAGAGTAATGCGAGGACCAGAGATAGATGCTGAGGTGAAAGCACGAGAGACTATCGATGTTAAGGATGGTTTGCTGATCAGAGTTCGACGAAAGAGAGACAGCGCCATGCTTGCTTCCCTGCAAAAACCCTAGCTGAGAAAGAGAGCGTCCAGAGGAGGGTTTTACGCGTTACGCCAAAGACTCAAAGAGGCCTATATGGTTTCGATTGTTTCGCAAAGAGATGCAACTTGACCGGATTGGTTCAGTTCTGACCATGATCAGTTCGACCCAATTTTCTCCCAAAAAAGGTTCGATGAGGATGCCGTAAACACATGATACCGGTAAAACTTATTACATCAACCACTCCGAATCTGTTAGCCAAAATATTATCCCACATTAAATTATTCACAAAGCACCACCACCGTGTATTATTCATTGCGCATCTGTAACATCCCGTCATATAAGTAAAGATGTGAGAACAGCAAGACACATCATAGTCCTGATCAATGAGGTAGGTTTTTATTAAACTTTTCCGCATCATAAAAAATTCATGTCGACCCAATTATACAACAAAAATCACCACCTCCTACTCATGTTTATTCGTATAAATTAAGGCTATAAATTTGGCCGGGTTAAAACCAATCTTAGTCTAATTCTAAGTTTTAAATCACAATTCTAACGTTAACATAAGGTTTAAATTATCAGAAACGTTAAGTGTATTGGAAAGGTAATTTTAAGAAATGTATTGAGGATTCGTTTGGTTTGTGATTGGAATTGAAATCGGAATCCCTTGGAATCATTGGAATGGTCTATTCCCTCTACTTGTTTGGTTCAGACTGGAATCGGAATCGGATTCCGATCAATGTTGTTTGGTTCATTAAGAGGTTGGAATCGGTTTGTGTGTCAAATACAATGTGTACACATTAGGTGGTGATAGATGTGTAAAGTGGGTCGTGTCGGGTCGTGTCATTAAGAGGCCGACACGGCACGACACGTGGGCGGCCCATGCATGGCAGCCACGACACGGCCCGTGGGCAGCCCACGCAAAGTGCAGGCTGTATCGTGTTGGCCGGCAGACCTCACGGGCCGTGCCACCCTCTCTGGTGAAAATTTTGGGGGTCGGCCTGGCCCACAGCCCAGGCCCGTGCCATGCCGCGGGCTAGGCTGGCTCGTGGGCCGAGCCTTGGGCCAAGTCGGGCCGTGCATCGAGCCAAAGCTATTATTTAAAAAAATTGACAAAAAACTTTAATTTTTAATTTTGTGTATACAATTGCTTATATATACCATAATTAAATAAAATAGTATAATAAAATTAAAAAAATATTTATTTTATTAATATATTATTATATAATATATAAATAATATATATGGGACGTGTCAAGCCATGTCGTGGGCCAGGCTGCACCAGGTTGCAAGTTGGGCCGTATTGGCCCACAGGCGCATGGCCCACTCGGTCATGTCGTGTCGTGCTGGCCCATGGACCTAAAACCCCAGGCCCAGCACGACCCACATGATCGTGCCAGGCCGCGAGCAGCATGGCCCAATTTACATGTTTAGGTGGTGAGCAAGCACATTAAATGTTCTTTTAACTATATTTTGAGTTAGATACTTTTTTGGGGATGGCATTAATGACATAAGCGACAGTAAATAGCGTTGAGTGTCTGTCAACTGTGGAATGTGAATCCCATTCCGGGGGAGGGGGGCGGGAATATGGCATTCCACCTGCTCATTCCCATTCTTGTCTAGCAAACATCTGAAAATGGAATGACCCATTCCGATTCCGATTCTAGGGTTCTATTCTCTCGAACCAAATAAACCCTAGATACGTCTTGGATATTGTATGTATATTAGAGAAAAAATAGGATACGCTTAGATACACTTGGAAACACTATAAATACTTTAATAAATCATAAAATATACATCAATAACAAAAAATATAAGACCTCAATGAGGTGTATATACATTAAATTAATATATTTTAATGGTTTTATGAAGAAATATATTATAGTTAATTATAATTTCATTAAAAACCCTATGCTTAACTATAATTTATAAGTTATAATTCTTAAGTTTTAATGTTTTATGGGATGGGTAAAACCCAACACTCCTATCCAACCATAAAATATGCTATAGGTACATAGTGCTCGTTGAGTCCCTTAAAGCATAGAAAACACTAAATTGATGCCACATGGACGCTTGCGATCAGCCTACAACTCATCTTTCCTCTACAATGAACTCATAGTACAATACAGATCTGCGATGAACCCACGGTTCAGCACCCGCTTGGGATGAGCCTACGCTTAGTGCAAGCTGAAAACATATTCGAGTTGAACTTGCAATGAGGTTTTACACGTTTGGCCCCGCGATCAACCCTCAGATATGGGATCCCAATTTGTTAAGAACCAGGCTCAGATATTAGTTGCACACGTAATTTCAAAGTGACGAATGTGACAAAGGGCCACATAAGTTTAATAAGATGTTGTCTGCCAAGCAGTAACGTCACTAGCGCCACATCGATTAAGTGAGGCGCAAAAGGTAGTAGCACATATGGGTTATGAGGATCTTCGAGTGAAAGGAAAGTCAATCCTCGAAGAGATCCCCATAAGAACACGTGGCGAAACTCTACCAATGCTCCTTAACGACTGACAGCGAATCCAATATTCCCTTTCCTAAAATAAAACAAACACCTTTAGCTCCTTCCTTTCAGGATCTCGAGATCTCCCCCATAAATAGAGATCCTTCTCATAATGAAATTCATTCATTCAATCATTAATTACCCTTATTGTTGATATCCCTGCTCAATCGTCTCATCACTCACCCTTTACCCTAGCCTCCTCGTTGATTCTCTACTCTCAGCCTTCCTTTTTCCTTCAAAGAGACCACTTCCCTAGCCTAGCCACCACCTCACCTACACATGCATTGGCACAATTTCCAAGTGAAAATATAATTAATAATTATTTATTACTTAAATAATTAATATTTATTATTTATTTCCAAAACTTATAAAAATAAATAAACAATATACAATATATTCAAAAAATAGTTATTAAAAAAGAAATTTCATTGCTTTGTGGATATGATAGATCATCCTTAGAATTACAATATATTTAATCATTGTAATCAAATGATAAAATATAATTATTTATTTATTTATTTTTTAATTCTAAAAATATAAAAATAAAAAATTAATTATTAAAGAATAAATTTCAATTGGTTTGTGGATATGATAGATCATCCATGGAATTATAATATATTCAATTATTGTGACCAAATGATAAGTTATAATTAATTATTATTTATTTTTTAATTCTAAAATATAAAAAATCGAAAAAAATATTAAAGAAGAAATTTCAATCGCTCTATGGATATGATAGATAAATCCATAGATCTAAAACGTAGACATATTTAGTCTTTATAGGCAAAGAAAAAATTACATTTCAAATTTTTTTGTTAATTTATATTTTCCCCAAATATCTTCATGAAATTTCCGTAAATGTTCTGATAATACAAAAGAAAATTGTGATTTTGAATGTAAGAAATGTAGATCAACATAAATTTAAGCATTCAAGGAAAAAAATCACAAGATATTATAAAAAATTGAAAAAAAAAACTTACCTATTTTTGTCATATTTTTTCAAATTTTGAAAAATCTACAAAAATTAACGCTTCACACTTGTTTCTTGCAAATATAGCACTCTAGGAATGAGGTTTGGAGTTTTAGAGTTATTTAGGGGTGAAAGAAGGCTTATTTAAGGGGAAAAGAAGCTTGCTTTCCCCCCTTTTTTCCAGTTTTTTGCCGTATCTTTTTCGTCAATATTCTACCGATACACCCCTGATCTGAATGCAAAAAAGATGAGATGTCCGATTTCCATGCGTATCATGTAACGGTTTTTCAAAGATACGATACGATGCACCCGATACAAGGTGTATCATATCGAAATTTTAAACCTTGCCCTAACCCAATCCAACCTCCCCAACCCTAATCCAACCCAACTTTAGGTTTGGTTGGGTTCTTAATCTTAGATCTTAACTTATATATATATATCCTATGTTTTATTAGTATTTGTTTGTTGATGGTTCTTTAAGTACAAAGTGTTTGAAAAGACTATAGTTTATGATGATGACTTATAATAAATCTTTTATAGGGAGCAAGCTATAGGTGGCAAACAACAAAGAGGAGATAAAGAATAACATATTCAGAAAACATAAAATATTTTATCAAGGTTTTAGTATTTCCAATTAGGATTAAGTGAAGTGATTATCTTAAATGAAATAAATGATAATATGTGGTAGTGGATATACAACTATCATGCATCTAAACAAATCATTGTATAATCATATATAACATATATTTATATATGATGTGTACTATAGAGTCGAGTTCGGGTTGGGTCGGGTTGCCCAAGGGATCAACCCTAACCCAACCCGAAGTAAAGTCGGGTTCATAAATTTCAACCCTAACCCTAACCCGAGCATCAACCCGCTCCAACCCAACCCGACTTTTTTGGGTTGGGTTCAAGCTAACTTGGCCCAAGTTGCAGCCTTAGTATAAATCATTATCATCCCATTCCTTCGGTTATCAATAACAATAGAGGTGCAATAGAGTTAAGCCAAACTTTGGCATGTCTTAACTCAATTTATGGTTTTTAAAACCGGATTGAATTGGACAGTTGGATTGGAAAACCTAGGAATCAGTGAGGTAACTAGTACTATTTCACCCAAAAATCATTTTTTGGCTAAAAATCGTTGATTTGGTCATGACCCCATTGACCTGGGTGGTTGAACTATCAAACTGTCAACCTAGACAATGGTTTTTTGTCATTTTTTATTTTTTAAATCAAAATGGGATGTTTGTTCGAACTGGATCGTTGGACAGTTCGACCAGGGAACCAATCCCCAAAACAATTCTTTGTCCGGTCTGATTTTAAAAACCTTGGCTCAGTTTGACTAAATACTATTAGGTTTGAGTTTGAGCTCAAGTTTGACTTGAATTATATTTTGTGGGTGAAGCTGGATTTGATTAAATACTCAATGAGCTTGAGTTTAGCTCAAAAGCTCGAAAAAAAAATATATTTATATTATATTATATATGATATTTTTATAATATATATTATAAAATAAGATAAATTTCTTAAACTATCCCTAAGGTTTAGGAAATTGACTAACTATACCCTTACGTACCCCTACTATTTCTAACAATTATCACCATTGTCAAATCCTGACACACAAAAAGTTGCTTTTACCCTTACATTAAGAAAGGATGTCATATAGTAAATTACTATTTTAACCCTCTATTTAACACAACAAGCGTTG